CTGAAAATAATCTGAAAACCGGTTCCACAGGGAGAACCACTATCATTCGCTCCAATGCTTCACTGAAATCAAAATGAGAAAAGAAACGGTTAATACAGTGCTATATAACTCACAAGATTGTGCAAAGAAATCAAACACTCCTCTTATGCTTTCTGCACACTGCAGCTGGGACGTAGCACATTAACAATTCCACCCAAAACGTAACAGTAGCTTATGAGAGATGATCCTCTGAAAGAAGAGTCAGTGTAAGTCACACTAAACACACACAAACAGTGCAAGGTTCTGGATTTCATTATCACGGCACTGTGAGGAATTTTCTATCAAAACATCTTTGGCGTAACCAGAACCAAAATGGAGCGACCCCCGTGTGTGGGCACGAGGCACATTGGTCAGTCAGACCTTTATGAGCTGAAAACTGCTGTTCAGGGTGCTGACTTATGCAGCTGTCTTAAGGAGCCCCATATGCCTGTTACTTTGGTCCTACCATACCAGCACAGTACACAGAGTGCTCTTTGAACCAAATCATAAGACTGCACTAAAAACCCTACAGCTGTTAACTGTTCTGCTTCCTAGGAAGCTCATACAGCATGGAAAATGACCAATGTTCGAAAAGGTAGCTCTCTGTTTGGAACCAGCGTTATTGACTGATGTTTACAGTTACAGCCTGTATCATAGTTTAATCATTAATTTAAGAGACAGTCTGATCCACCACAGTAAAGGCTTAATATGAGAAAAGAGCTGAGAATCATAAAGTGAATATGATTTGTGTTGACAAGATTTTGGCTCCAGAGTGCTGCGGCACTTCTGTTGCTACTCAGATGGAAAATATTACATAAGGTGCGGATGCTGCTCAGTCTGACAAGCTACATATTACTGCAAAGGCAGCAGGTAGCAAAGCATAGGAGCTCAGGGGTTATTCCCAAACAGAGAGCAGGAGGTTTGCATGAGCCATTTCCCTTTCAAACATCCTCTGTGGCAATCTGACCAACCCAGCTCCAGCTGGACCAGTTCCATTACCTCCCAATCAAATGAGGAAGAAGTAGGAAGGCCACAAAGGAAACCACACACTCACATTCCAGTCAGATTTGCATGATTATTCATTTTCTCCAGTTGAAAGTACGTCACACTTTTACCCAAATTAGTAATGCTTCAAGCGACAATGTCATGATATTTTAACAGATGTTGCTTTTATCAGTCACTTTGCAATGACACAGGACTAGAACATAAAAAGGTCACAGGGCAAATTCAGATGCAGGACAGCGCAAATGCCCTTCACTCTGCAGTTGGCCTAACTGTCAAAATGCCCCGTGAACAGATGTGAAACAGAAAGAAACAGCAAAACGAATCGGAGTGCTTTGTCAAAAACCAAATTGGGCCTGAATTTCAAGAACAGGAACGAAACCAGAAATAAAACTGAGAACCAATCACAGTGTACCAAAAGCTCTTCATTATGACAAAGCAAAATTCTCTCTCAAACATACAAACTTAATTTTGTCCATTAAAATGAGCTGTTTTATCAGATGTTGTTGCTGAGCTTCACCGCTGGCTGAGCAGCAATCGGTCTAGACAACCAGTAATCTCTACTTCTCTGAAGTTTTTTCATAGTCATAGCCCAGTCTCACAACCCAGGTTGGTGGTGAAAGGATCAGTGGAAGAATCATTAAGGCTGGTTGACAACCAAGAGGAGAAATGTAGCACTTCACTGTAAAGACCAGTGATATACAGACAACCTGTCACCTGGCCTATAGGCATATTGTACCAGAATGACCAGTCTCTTAACAAAAGGTTCAACTGAGCCCATCTCTGCAATATGTAAACATGAAGGGACCTTACAATAAACTGTTCAGATCAGGTTTCCATTATGATCCTGTTTTAAAACCTGTGACTTTCTTCCTCTAACCCCTAATGCGTTACACAACCTATAACATGCTCCCATTGCAGTGGACAGACTTCCAGCTCCCCACAAAATGTGTACGACAGAGTTGCAGACATACACAATAAGCGTCCTCATTAACTGGAAAACAGCAGCACAAAGTAAATGTTGATGCAGCAAACAAACACTAAAGACTGCCCGGCAGCGCCCCATTCAATTTCACACAGTCACCTATTTCATAACTAAAATTATAGTAAAAGAATAAAGCAGAACCGTATATCCATATAATCTGACCTTTATTTCAATAACACAAAACGTACTGTGGAGCTGAGCAGACATGATCGATACATTCAGCCTCCACGGTGAAGCCAGGTGAGTTATTTTCAGGAACTGACAGCAGACGCCGAACAACTGACTTGATTCAGTTGAAGCCCACACCTGCGGGTTTTCACCTGTCGCTACAACACCTGACACGAAATGGCATGTGTGTCAGGCCGCTGCCTAATCTCATTTCGCTTATATTTCCCCGTAGCCCGCGTAAATCTTCACAAAAGATCTACACTGTTTCGCACGATACATCAAACTCACAGTAATCTTGCCAGCCAAGTAGTCGTACAGAAATATGTTCCGGAGTAGCTGCTGCAGTCCTCACAGACAGCCTTGTCCTCAAGCAGATGGTCCCTAACCGAGAAAAAAAAATGCGGCTAAGAATAATATACGCAGTATTTATTTCTGTCACTGTGCACTGCTCAGGGTCTATTCCACTACTGGGAGCAGCAAGACTCCCAGCGCGTCTCCGTGTTCCTGCCCTGCCTGTTTGCATACGACCATGCCATTCAGTGCGCCACTGGATGCAAAACATAAAACGCGACTCGAACATGCCCTCTGCAGGCCTACATGTAAGAATATCCCAAAACCTGAGGCCAAGTCTATGCAGCAGCAGCAAAGATTTCTCTCATTTCATTAGCTACTGTATGTATCAGTTAGTATGGCAGTAATGTACAGTAGCTCCCCCAAGAAGTACTTTGGAATTCCTTCAAGTGTGGTATGGGAGTTTTGGTAAACCTGTGATACTGAGAGGGACATAGCAACTTGTGGTAGAGGGTTGTAGCTACAACAAGAAAATAAAAGAAAGCCTACTTTGTAGAAGTTATTGCTCAGCTTGATTCTAAAGCTATAAAGACAAAATCCCAAGTTAGAGTTAATATTTTAAAATATAATATAGTGGAGACAGGGAAAACAATGTGGTCCACAATTGGAATCTTAGATTTATAAATATCTAGCCATAAAACCCTCAGTGCCTCCTGGAAATAAACTCTTATGGTTAAAAAAAAAAACAAAAAAAGGGAAAATCACCTTAAACCCTTAAACTTTTAATAAAATAGGTCATAGTACAAGATCTATGAGCAATTTTTAAACATTCCAACAAATTCATCACCAGAAGCCATATCTAAACAGAGCCTTAATATTAATACTGGACAGTATTTTATGCTGTCACTTATTACTGCACTGTCACTGCTGGATAATCTTGTTTCTGTCCTTTTACTTTGTCTACTGGTTTTTAATTTCATTTTATGCATTGTATCTCATTTTAAGGTAGGTAGGTACTTTATCGATCCCTCAATTGGGAAATTTCAGTGTTTCAGCAGCAATGGAGAACCAACAACACAGCACCATGAGAAACAAACACCACACACACATCCTGATATACAAGAATTTAACAGTTTTAACTTGATTTTGTCTTATTTTATTCTGGTTTCAATGGTCTATTTTTCCTTTACCTATGCAAAGCACCTTGAGTTGCCTCTGTGTATGAAATGTGTAATGTCAGTAATTAAAGTTGCCTTGCCTCAGATTTATTCCATTTATTAAAAAAAAAAAACAGAAAAGGAGTTTGATTTGATTTATTCTTTCAAACATGTAAAAAACAGTTGATATGTCAACACACATAATTTTACACATATCCAATAAATGCTAATCCATTATCAATTTGCTTATACCTAGTACATGCTTGAATGGAGTAGGAAGAAGTCAGACTTATCCAGTCCTACCCCATGACATCATCTTACCATCATTGGTTTGCAAGCAGTAAATGATTCACTTCTAC